GCTATGGTATCCTTAAGCTTGGATGAAATCTCTTCTATAGAAATGTCATCCTGACCTCTTTCCTCAGAAGAAGAGGAATCATCCAATTACCATCTCCTCCTAAGGCAACATGTTTGGCTCAAGGGCCAAATCAAGGACTGAATCAGGAGGGGAGGTCAAAGGGGAATGGTTATCCTCAATAAGGCCAGAAATTCTGCCCATGAAACATTGAGGCAGAAAATTCCTCTCTGTATAGGAAAGAGGAAGCTGGTGTGGCAGATTGGCCAAAAGAATGGCCAGAGGAAGGCAGGGAATCAGACTGGAGGCAGCAGAGCTAGCAAATCCATCTGACCCTTTTCCCTTGCAATTGTAATCTGCTATGCTTGTGAAATATTGTCCCCAGAGGGGTACTCATGACCTCTCCAGCTGTGAGAAGGTGGGAAAATGCCTCCTTGCCAAGCACTTGTAAGCTGCTATGAACCCAGGTAGTGTGCTGAAACCATTATGCTGTGTCAATGGAGGAGAGTCAGGAATTGTTGCTGGTCAGAAGGCACAGCCAGAAGAAAAAGGAAAGGCAGGGTTTCAACTGCAATAATCAAATGAAAGAGGTGGTCCAGGCACAGTGAGTGCCAGGGTTTCTCAGGCACAGCAGGGCCCGGCCCGGGCACCTCAGTGCAGGAAATAATACCAATTAAAAGAAAAGCTTTTTGAGGTTAAATACACCTTAGACATGAAAGTTTAGAGCGTTTCCACCCTGTACTCACTGTTGCAGCCTCTGCAGACAGGATTAACAGGTGGATATACCCAATCCTGGCTTTACCCTCCACAATGGGCATATCCCCATGGGTCCTCAGGAACAGGGCTCTTTTGCTGGCCTTAGACCTCTAAATCACTCTGCAGCCAACTCCAAGCATTTCCCTACGTACCAAGGGAAGCACTTACATAAGATTCCAGTGAATATCAGCAACTTTACAGGCAGGCCCTTTTCTTCAATGCTATAGGGTTCATTTATGATCCCCTTAAGTGTCTGCCAAGGAATCAAGTGATCTGGAAGCTGCAGTAGGAGTGAAATGAATACTGAAGCATGAGATGGGTTTTAAATCCTACCGATGACAAAATACTATTAAGTGAGCTAGCATGCAGATATTACAGGTGACATGGATAACGAGGAGTGACTTGTGTGCAGATCTCACTGTAACATGAATATCTTGGAGAGAGCTGTGTATACATTGAGTTGCAGAGCTCACAGGTGAAATGGATATTGGGGAGTGAGATGTGTGTGCTGGATTGCAGATCTCACTGGTGACAGGATACTATAGAAGTAGCAGTGGTGTTTCCTTGTTTGCTGACTTTACAGGTGACATGGATACTGGGGAGTGAGCCAAGTGTGCATAGAGTTGCAGTTCTCACAGATGAAATGAACACTGGGGAGGGAGGAGTGTGCACTGGATTGCAGATCTCACCGGTGACAGGATACTATGGTGTAGCAGCAGTGTTTGTCCTGGCTTGCAGAAAAAAGATAAAGTGGTCCATCGAATCTGCCCCCCTTTTTAATTTATATGTTTTCTATTTTTTGTTTTATTAAACTTTTTGTCTGGGTTTAAATCTGTTTGTCCCAATCATGTTTGAATAAACTTATTGTTGACCGCTTTACTACCTCTGCTGGAACTCTATTCCAATCACTTAATACACTTTTGGTAAAATAATACTTTCCAGGATTAGTTTTGAACCTCCCTCTTGAGGGTGTGTCCCTGTGCTCCTAATATTTGCTTGTTATTGAAAATACTGTCGTCCTAAACCATATTCACCCCTTGATGTATTTAAATGTTTCAGTCATGTTCCCCATTTCCCTTCTTTTCTCTAGACCATCCTTTTTCAACTTTTTTAACATGGAGGAACCCTTGAAATGTTTTTTGGCTTCAGGGAACCCCTACTATTATATTTACAGCTCACGGTACATTAGTGTGATGGTCAGTGGGAAGAATGCTTCTTACATTTGTGATCACTGGGAAGAATTCCCCCCTTACAGATAGATAAAAAGATCACTGGTGTCAGTAGGAACTTATATGAAATGGTAGAAAGTGCTTATTGCCTGAGGAACTCCTAGCAACCTCTGAGGAACCCTAGTTGAGAAACCCTGCTCTATACTGTACATATTAAATTCCTGAAGTCTCTTCAGATATGTTTTATCCTTCTGACCTATTACAATATCTCATCTCTGGACTCATTCTAACTTATCAATATCTTTTTGTAAGTGAGGTCTCCAGAATTGGCCACAGTATTCTAAATAAGGTCTAACTAAAGATCTATACATGGGAATCAGTACCTTCTTCCTCCTGCCGGTGACCCCTCTAGTGATGCATCCTAGCATTCTATTTGTTTTCCCTATTGCCTGGTCACATGGTTTGCTTATTTTGCAATAATCTAAAATAAGTACCCCCAATTCTCTTTCGTCTGTAGTGCTGGCCAAAGCTGTACCTCCAATATTGTACTCTGTCAAGGGATTCTTTTTCCCTGGGTGCATGATTTTACATTTAGAAACATTGAAATGCAGTTTCCACTGCTTTGACGAATCCCCCAGCAATACCAAATGATATTCCATGTTAAAGAAACCTTCAGTGATAACAACCCTATTGAACATCTTTGTGTCATCAGCAAAAGGACAAAACCTTACCCACCAAACCTTTAGTATATTACTTACAAACAGAATAAATAGAGAAGGACCTAGTACAAAGCGTCGTGTTACACCACTAGTGACTGGTCTCTGTTCTGAATGAACTACACTTACCAGTCTGGTATCTATCCTGAATCGTGCAAGAGTCCTAGCATGTACAACTTTTTTTATTAGATAATTATGTGGAACTGTATCAAATGTTTTGCTGAAATCAAGATAGGCTATGTCCACAGCACCACCCTGGTTCAAAACATTAGTGATATAGTAAAAAAATTCAATCAGATTAGCCTAACACGATCAGTAAAGCCATGTATAATTCGATCAGATTAGACTGACATGATCAGTAAAGCTATGCTGCTTTTTTAAGTGGTCAATGATCATTCTTATTAGGAGTGGTTCCATTAACTTGATTGCAACTGATGTTAAACTCACTGGCTGGTATGTGCCAGGTTCTACCTTACTCCTCTTCTTGTGGATAGCTATAATATTAGCTGTCCACAATCATGGGTAACTTTTCCTGTTAGAAGAGATTGATTAAAAAGATCAGTTAAAGAGGAGTTCCAGCTGAAAAGAAAAAAAAAAATTTGTCAGCTACAAAAACTGTAGCTGATGACTTTTAAAATACAGACACTTACCTGTCCCTCGGTCCAGCGGTGTCCTCACCACAGCTGGTTTCACTGGCCGTCTTCTCTCCCTGGCGCCTGCATCTTCAGTGTGGGCAGCCAGCTGTAACAAGCTTGCGGCTTCACAGCTGAGTGCCCACTGCGCATGCGCCGGAAGTGCTGCGCTTTGTGAATGGCCCCGTAGTCTTCTGGAACCTGTCATGTGTCCCAGAAGACTACGGGGAGAGGGTGGGGGAGGACAACCTCCACTTCCCATCACCTAGGCAAATTCAGCGGAAGTGGGAGCGGGCACCTGTCAAATTAGGGTACCCGCTCCCCCCCTGCGCTCCCCAAAGGTGCCAATCCTTAATGGGGAGCGGGGGACAAAGGCTTAAACCAGAACATCCCCTTTTGGGTGGAGCTCCACTTTAATGGTTCAACAACTATACCTTGAAGTTCTCTTAGAATTCAGGGATGAATACTATCAGGACCCATTGCTTTAATAAGCTTTAAACGAGCCAGTTCCTTTGCTACCTCAGTCTCTAAAAATGGGGACAGAGCAGTTTGTGCAGATATCATGGTTTGTGCAATGAAGGTGCAGATATCATGGTTCAATGGATATTGTCAAGTGAGATGTGTACGATGGATTGCAGATCTCACTGGTGATAGGTTACTATGAAGGGAGCTGTGTTTCTGGTATACAGGCTTCTAAATATAATTAAGTGCTATGAATTATGGATCAGTTCACAGCATATTTAGGTTTCCATTCAAATTCTACTATAATAGATGTAAAATTATAAGAGCGTCTATAATAAACAACAGTATAATTTACAAAACCTGTAACTTCTGCTCAGAAATAAAGTTTTTATTTGTAGATGTACATCAATTACAAATTGACTGGAGTCAATCACAGGTCTAGGACAGCTTTTTCCTGTTGTTAAACAAACAGGGTGAGAATTTGGTACTGTGTGTGCACCAAGCTCTTTATTAAGTTAGGGCTCATTAATCAGTCACAGCAGGCACTCTTCAAACTTAATTTCTTAAACCAACTTGATGGGTCTATTACATATTCTGGAACGATGAAAGAGGCCTTCATATTGGCTAACTTTGGAGATGCCATCTACAGATCACCCTTCCAGATTGTAAAATGTTGAAAAAGAAAAACACTTAAATAGCATCACAAAAGCACATATCCACACAACCGCCCTTATTTGTTTAGTGGCCATCATAAAAATCACCTCACTTCTCACATATTCTACAAATCATGTGTGAGGTAAATTAGTCTGGCCACAGCTATTTCCACATTTTATGGAGTTGCCTAAAGCAATCCTAGTTTCACTTTTCATGCCGGAAAGTCAGTTCACCAATCAAGAAACTAGTTGGCATCCAGAAATTCTCAAGGTTGCACACGTTGATACTATTGTATCTGAGTAGTATCCATTATATTATGTTGACACCTATGAAATTCCAAACTCCAGAAAATAAGGTGTGCATTATTCGGCATCCAATTTATTCTAGATTTTGAGCATGATCAGATGCCTAGTCATTGGTTCAGACATTTTGATCCAGTGGTGGCGTGGAAGGAGTGGGTTCTATGCCTCCATGTTCTTTATCCTAGACATTATGAGGTACGTCGCTCTGCACAGACTGCTTTGAAAGCAAGATGAGTGGCCATTAAAATATGGTCAAGCATTTCTAAATAAAGGGTATCCACCCTATATCCTACACACTTTCTCCTGTCAGGGTTAGCTGGGCCGACACTGCACTTGTCCTTCAGCAGAATCCTCATCATCTGATCCCCCACCACCAGAGGCTGGGCCCCCTCCACTGAGTCCTGTAATTCTGTACCCCATGTTCAGAAGCATTACTTCTAGTGGGTCAGCATTCATTCTCCGCTGGTTAGCTTGGCAGGCACTCTCCATATCCTGCACCACTCGCTTGTCAGGGCCTTCGCTCTGCAAACAGAAAAAACAGTAATGTTTGTAATAAGGACAGTATTATGAAAATAATTAACAGCAAAAATTATTTGTACACTTTAAGGAGAATTCCAACCATGCATAAACCACCAGTACAATGGAGATTAACTGAGATTTAAACAATGAATGGAGGCCACATATCCACCTTGGAAGGATTTTGAGGTACGGTTACATCTGGAAAAGGGGAAGATTGGGCAAAATGGATAAGTGTGCTTTGAATGGGGAAAAAAGTGCCATAAGTAGGAGACCCATCCCATGACTGACGGGCCATGTGACCAGGCTATTTTCTTAAAGGATAAGTTCACCTTTTTGGCAAAAATAATAAGTGCACATTTTTTGCAGGAGCCTGGGAAGCATTGCACCAGGGATCAGTAGATTGTTAATGCCATGCAGGTCTCCTACAGACCTGTCAGAATATCTGCTTGCCGTACGGGATGTATGGCCAAGCACATATTCTGACAGGAAGCTTCAATGAACTACCACGGCGCTCCACACTGCACTTCCATACTTGATGATAATATTTTTAATATCTACATATTACATGTACACTAGGATATTTATCTTACTATTTCTCCACAATAGAAAAGAATTGTATTCTTTTTTTTTACAGTACAGAATGCATGACCCATGATTGCAGTAATGTTTCCACTAGTTCTTGGTGAGGCATGAGACTAGTATTGCATTACTATTCTTTTTTACACCTCAAATGGGTAGCAAGCTGAGATCAGTGTTAGGCAGATGATAATCGCATTAAATAGAGAAAAAAAAAAAAAAGCAGTGCCTTAACACCTTCCCACCTGGCCTATAGCAGATTGGCAGCATAAGATGTCCTGTCAAAAGCAGCCATTCACGTGGCCGCACAGCGGTGCGATCTGTCACTGGCTGTGATATGATGACATATCACTACACCAGCCCATTGCCAGTGTCATGTGACTGCTGTGACCAATCACAGCAGATCACGTCAATTTGTATACAATGAATAGCAAGACAGGAAGCCATCAATTGTATACATTGTGTTGTTAGCTGTGATTGATCAAAGTAGTCACATGGTACAGACAGGGCCAATCACAGTCCGTCTGTATCATGTGATGAGCTTTGCCCAATCACAGCTAATCACAACAAAAGACTGAATGAATCAGTTTCATTCAGTAACAATGACTGCAAATATCAATGAAATACTTTGGTGCTAGCAATCATAACGTGTAAAAAAAAAAAAATCCTGATCACTTGCCCAGAGTAGTTCAATGTTACTATGGTAACATTGTATTGCTTTGGTCACAGTGTATTGAAAAACAAAATAGTAGAAAAAATAATTTAATTAAAAAAAAATTGAAAAATTTGAAAAAAAAAAAAAATTAAATTATTATTATTTTTTTTTAAAATACTGTTACCTGTGTCCCTGATCACCGCCACACCAGTTATATAATCATGCTGTACTGGACTGGTGACAGTACAGCATTCTACATTTTCCAAAAATTGTAACAAAAAATTACAACCTCCAAAAAACTCACCATGCCTCTTACTAAATACCTTGGACTGTTTATTTTCAAAAAATGGGTAATTTGGGGGGTATTTGTACTATTCTGGCTTTTTCGGGCCTCAAGAAACGAGATTGGCCGTCAGAACATTGATTGATCAGTTGTCCGATATATATACCATGGTTTGTGGACTCTATAATTTTCCTACAGACTAAATAATATACACTAATTTGGGGTATTTTCACCAAAGAAATGTAGTAGGATACATTTTGTCCTAAATTTATGAAGCAAATGTTATTTATTTGCAAAATTTTAACAAAAACGGAGAAAAATTTGTTTTTTTTTCCAAAAATTCAGGTTTTTTTTTTTGTCTATTTAGCAAAAAATAAACTCAGTGGTGATTAAATACCACCAAAAGAAAGCTCTATTTGTGTGAAAAAAATGATCATTTGTTCATGGGTACAGTGTTGCATGATCGCACAATTGTCATTCAAAGTGCGACAACACTGAAAGCTGAAAATTGGCCTTGGCAGGAAGGGGGTAAAAGTGCCCTGTATTGAAGTGGTTAAAAATAAAAAATATTAATAGTAATTTTCTAAATTATTTATCCATGCAATCTACCATATTTCACTGCATGTTCCAAAATAATCTCTCTCTATAGATCATGTTTTACCCACCTCAGGACGTGGGCTCCATAGTCGCACAACAGGGTCAATGCCGCTCGTTGCTAGGAAACAGTAACTTGGGTGTGGCTGTAGACAATTAACTATAGACTCATCTCCTTGCAAAACCCTAATGAGGGCACAAGTCTCCTTTTCCCAGATGAAGAATGACCCATCATCTGATCCACTCACTATGTACTGAGCATTACTGTAAAACAAGAAAAGACTCAGAAATCCAATGATGACAAAACAGTAAACCAAAAAAATGATTGCAGAAGCAATAGTAAATATTCAAACACTTGAGTTCCAGGTTCTATTTTAAACATTTTTAAAATGTCGCAGTTACATTAAAAGTGATCTGTTGTAGCAGAAGTGCACATTGGGAAATGATCAGGTCCTACGTAACCTCATCAATGAAGAAAAAGAAAGGAAAAAATCTACAGATAAAAGGGCAAATAATCAAAGAAATCTATTTACAAAAAAGAAAAAAAAACCCAAACAAATACTCTGAATAATTATTGCACTTGTAAATAAACTCTCACACAGGTAGGTATGTGCAATATTATTCAGAATATATTCTGAAAAACAGCCATTGTGCTAATATTGAGCCACCCTAACCAGACTTGATCTTATCTCAAAGTTATAATAATGGTTTATGCAAACATTATTTTTTATTCTGCGTATTAAAATGCGGCACTGAAAGGGGAAAAAAACGATCTAAATAAAAAGATTTGACTTTGACAATCTGGGGATATGGGAAAAGACTGGGACTGACATGAAATGCTACTTACATAAAATGGAAATTTACATTTCCTAAACTACAATATAAACAATTGACAATAAATTGGAGTAAATATGATAAATAATTTGAGCAACTAAAGGTATTATTGCAGACTCTGCCAGCAGCTAGCGTACTGTTCCATAAAGCAAAAGTAAGGCTCATGTACACTGCAGAGGATAAACTCACGTTTAGGAATTGTTCTGCTTCTTTTTCAGCAGCCCCTGAACTCTCCCTAATGTTTTCCTATGTGTCCATGTTCAATGATCGTTAACAGGCTGTTGAGTTTACAGTCGTTTTTTTGAACACAGAAAACTTGCGTTCAGGAGTAGATTTTATCAGCGTTTCAAACGCCAAATGCTTGTAAACGTGGCTAACCGCATTTATAAGCGTTTGAACATTTTTTTTTAACTCTTCCATTTCCAGATGCTGTCCAGAGCCTTTTTTCATCATGAAAAATGCATGTAAAGCGTTTTCCCGGTACTCAAATTAACCCGGTACACCATACTTTGAGGTTTCGCATGAAAGAAAATATGTTAGACACTGCTGCAATACGTTTTGCACAGAAATTAGCTAGAACACATCCAAACACCACAAAAAAAAAAAGACAGCTAATCTCAACACATACTGCTCTCTCTGCTTCTGCTCTCTCTATTTCTCTCAAAATGTATGAAATAGTTATTTTTTTACTGTGCATTCTGGGCATTTTGGAAGGTCTCCTGAGGTTATCTTTAATAAACGCTTCTAAATGCAAACGCTCATAAACGCGCATAAAAGCGTATGCAAATGCAGCTAAACAGACTTTTTTTAACCTATGTTTTCCAGCAGTCAGTTTCCATCGTTCAGAAGTGTCCCGTGTACATGGAGCCTAAGCATATGTTTTCCCAGCCAAAAGTTTACAAAACTAGTAATTTGGTTACCTTCCCATGAAGCTGGCTTCCTTTATGTCTGTAGTAGTATTACAATGGCCACAGTATCTGTGCTTATAGTCCAGGCTTCGTTCTCTAAGCAGCAGTTCGTCCTCAGAGAGGGAATCCTTCCTGCCTCCTGAGCGGAGGCGGACAGAGCCTCCTTTTTTATCGTCCTCTGTGGAAGAAACATAAGGACAAATGACTGCATGATAAGGAGAAAAGGTTAAAGCTAAAACACATAACAGGTCTGGAAAAGAATAAAAGAAAACAAAAAGGTAAAATAAACATGGATTTTCGTAAAATAGTCTGCATGAATATTCATCCTGTTGAATTTATCAGTATAAAGCACTATAACCTGGAAAAACATATTTTCAGTTATGTTTTCAGTGTTTACCCTAAAATAATTCTGGACATGACACATACATTTACACACTTATCTTTCAATGTATTTGTTATTGTATTACAGTTAGACGTATGTAGATAAGCCAACAGCTCAGTGTTATTAGTCTCTCTCTCAACTTTTGAGATAGCAGGCTCTGGCAAAGCAGTTGTATATATCTTATGTATTTACTATAATTACTTATATACTATAATTACAAGTTAGAGTGCATACTAATGGTTTTAAAAAATGACATTATATGCCCAAGTGTAGTCAAAATAAAAAATAAAAAAGAACAAACAAAAATCAGCACAAGGGACACTACTGCTAATAATAGTGTGTGGTGTTCCCTGTGCTGCTGGCTCCTGATTTCCTTGAGAACCTTCTCCATCGATGCCCCCCCCCCTAAACCCACCACTGAAATCTTCTGGTGGGAGGGGGGTAAATAGAACTGAAGGAGCTGTAATTTGCACTCCTCAGGAGTGCCCAACTATGCTTCTCCATTCTGTCCAGCTCCTCCATCCAAAGAAACCGGCACTACAGCTTGTATGAATGAAACATGATCTTTGAATAGAGGGAGCGGACCTTTCAAAAATCGCCTGCCATCCATTCATAGATCATGTTTCATCCATAGAAGCTGTAGTAAGACTTCTAAAAATGGAGGCGCTGGGGAGAAAAGATAGGCTTAGTCAGGAACTGTTGATGAGCGCAAGTGACAACTCCTTCAGTTCTAATAACTCCCGTCGCACGGTAAGATTATGGCAGCAGGGGTTATGAGAGCATCAATGGAGGAGTATTTTAAGGACGCCTGGAGCCAGCAGAGACCGCAAGGGACACAACAAATTAAGGGCCCAGCCATGGCACTACCTTCCTGGAGTCTGCATGGTCACCTTGTGCCTGTTTGGGTTTCCTCCCACAGTCCAAAAGACACGCTGGTAGTTTAATTGGATCCTGTCTAAATTGGCCCTAATTTGTTTATATATGAATGTGAGTTAGGGACCTTAGACTGTAAGCTCTTTGAGGGCAAGGACCGATGTGAATGTACACTATATATGTGTAAAGTGCTTCGTAAATTGACAGTGCAATATGAGTATCTATAATAAAGAGTAAGTCATGTCCTTTTTTGTGTTTATTATTTAGACACGTACTGTATATCTATAACTAAAAAGAATATACATTTTCTCTAAATTCAATATAAATGCAAAGAATATGGCACAACTGCTGATCTACCAGTTGATCTTCCCTGAGAAGGCCATCCACCAACAAACAGTGTCAGATTCTGAAGAAGCTGCAGAGATTCACAGATGAGATGGGAAAATAAAATCATAGGACAACTATAACCCAGCTATTCAAATGCATGTGAAAGACTGCAAAAATATAGAAAAAAATGTTATGCAGTCTGAAATGTACCTAACAGCAAAACATTGATTCTTAAAACACACATAGGTACTCTGGAGTAAAGCACATTTCCAAATTTCTTGTGGTCTAGTCAAAGCCCAGACCTCAATCCAAATGAGCATCTGTGGCAAACTTAATTATTGCTGCTCACCAACATTCCCTTTCCAACCTTACACAGCTAGATAAACATTCCCAAGAAAGGGCAAAGTTGCAATTTTTCAGATGAGCAAAGCTGGTGGACCCTTATCCCAAAAGATTTACAGCTGTAATTAAAACAAAAATGTGGATCTACCAAGTAATAACTTGGGGTTAAAGCCAATGCAAAAACCACATCTATTTTTACCTTTTGTATCACAATAAAAATATTTTGCACCTACAAAGTCTTAGGCTTCTTTCATACAAAGGGTCCGATCATGTTCGCCTGTCACGTTTTTCAGGCAGACCTGATTGGACCCTCCATTAACTCCTATGTGTCCAGTTGTACCCACCTACTTCCAATCCGGATCTGACCACCTATGTCTAGGCAGACTGAATTGGAGAGCAGACTCTGCTGTCTGTTTAAACCCAACCTTCCATACAGAAGAGAGGGCTCTGATAAAATTGAGCGGACACAGATCTGTCATCTGCATGCTCTGTTCTGATCAGCAGGGGATCAACGGGCAAATCCTCTACTTATCTAAACAGATGTTTATTTATTTATTTTTTTTTTTTAAATCCAACATATTGATTTTGATTGCAGCGCAAAAAATCGCGTGTTGCAGCTGACACACTAATGATGCAATAAAAACAAACGATCTGACTATCAAAAAGAGTTTTCATTCGGTTTTCGACTCTAGTTATGGTTACTTCTGGAGTGAAGGAAATAAATAAAAAGGACCACTGTATTTTTATTTTCATGAAATGTTGTCCTTTAACTTTAAAATGAGAGGAATGCTTTGCTTTATTAAGGTAAAAGGGGAATTCCATTCAATGCTCTTGAATAGTAGGCAGTTACGTGAGGCTTGGGTACAAAAGCTCCCTCTCTAGGATGTTCACGTTCGCCTGTGGCTGCCCGAGTAGAATCTGAGATGCTTTAAGAAACTAGTCTAATAAAATAAAAATGTGTTCTACAAAAGTAGAATTATGAAACAATGTAAATGAACACATTACTGGTGTATAATATAAATAATATACAACATAATAAAAACATACTGATGCAAAGCATGCTTACGGTTGTCATTTTTGGAGAATAAGGCAACCCTGATATCCCTGTCAAGTGCATCACATGCACTGCTTTGAGCCTGCTCTGGGAACTTGACTTTGAACTCCTCCAAACAATCCAGTGCTTCAGAGACATAGCGGAGCTCAAATAAGCAGCGGGCTAGTCGAAAGTGAGCTTTGAGATGGGCTGGATTCAGCGCTAGTGCTTGAAGGCAGTCTCTTAGAGCATCATAGTGATCTCCATCCCCTAACGGTAGAGCAGGAAAAGTATGAGAAAAAGCCCCGTATACAAATCACTATATCGGAAAACACAAGAATCTCCTTTACTTACCACTTGCGTTTCATATATGCTGCTGCCCGATTTCCAAATAACATAGCACTACGAGGAGCCCTCTGCATGGCTTGGCTATACAATTCAATTGCTTGGCTCCACTGTTGTCGTGCAAATGCATCATTAGCTTTTTGCTTCACCTTTTCTAGATGTGGCGGCAGCTCATTTGTTGTCCTAAGTACGGAGAGTAGAAAAAATGTCACAAACAAATGGTCCTATGGTAATATACGTATAAACTGAATATGCAGGCAGAAAAAAAGACAAAGTAATTTTACTGGCAAAATACTGGATGTAGATAGGAAAAACTAAAAAAAAACAGAGAGTTTATGTCAAGGCAATTGCTATGTTGCAATAACAGTTGATATTTAATTTTTCCACCTACACATGATGAGCTCCATGCTCAAACCCACGAACACACAATATAACAAGAGGTGGCACATTATATATTGTATATATGCAGAAATTGTGATTATGCATTTTCAGCCCCAATATACATATTCCGCCACCATTACCAGAAGTAGTGGCCTATATAAAAAGAGTGGACTGGGGATACAGAGCATTCATTGTTCTGTGAAAGTAACTGCTAAACTGCGCAGCATGTCAAGTGTCTCTTAAGGAGCATTTCTTGTGTAAAAACCAGTGGACGCTCTTCTTTTTATGATTAGTTGCATGTATTTATATTTCACTCTCCTTTCCCAAATAAAAGCAGAGTATTTTTGTCTGTCCTTCCGGATTTCTCTCCTCTGCTACAAATTTTGATTATCTTCGAATTGCACCCGACTTGGAATCTCTCAATCCGGTTAAAGCTTTGCTATTTTCTACATGAGGGCACCTTTTCTCCAATGATTGGAGGATTTTTGGTTTGGGTTTTTCTCCTTTACTTCCCATTTTACTTACTGGTGCAGTCATTTGGACTTAAGGTTATATTATGATTTTAGTACTCACCATAAAATCTTTTTTAGAGTCCATCAACGGACACAGCTTGACGATATTAGGAAACCTACAGGAGTAATAAACATATTCTACATAGAAAACTGAAGGCCAGCTCCCTTCAGGGTATAACTCACCCCTCCCACCTGCTCCATTTCAACAACAAGTCCAAAAGAGAGAATGATAGCATATGAGGGCAGAAAGTGATATCCCTCATTGGACTCCAAGAAAGAGATTTTATTGTGAGTACAAACATCCTATTTTCTCTATTGCCAGGCTGCCAAACAAGCTGCTGATCAGGACTGTGCTTTCTATTCACTCCGGAGTAAATACCATTGTAAGTCCAGATCACTTCTGGTTTGTTCAGTTTGTCAGTCAAGCCCTGATGAAGGGGGTACTTAGAACCCTGAAACGTGTTGGATACTTCCTGAATTATACCCCTGACCTTTAATTGAATAAAGTTGTATCTGGACCTCTTAGCAGTAGTGTGGCGCTTCAATTTCAACTCTTCTTACATTACACTACAAGCCAAAGGAGACTAGGGAGATCCTCCAGGGGGTGTAGAAGCCACCTGCCTAGGAATCAGATCATTAACACCAACATTAATACCTTAAGATATCCCTTAAGATAACAATACCAATAAAATAAATATACAGGTCCAGCGCTATCTTTCCACTTTCCTCAACTATTGAAAAAGAACAGACAGGGCAGATATTTAACCTTTAATGAAATTGTTTTTCTACCCTAATTAAATGAAAAGAAACAACATGGACCATCCAAAGGCATGTGGGGAAACCCCCAGAAACTCACACCAGTGAAAATAAGACCTCCATGTGCAATGATACACCTTGCAAAAAGTAAATACACAAATATTAAGCATGGTCAGGATAGCGGAGTCCAAAGTGCTATCATCAAGAACCAGGGTTTGAACAACCAGGCTGTCCAAGATAGCAACAAGATGGGGAAGGGGGGGAATCAGTCCTTGGATAACCAATTTGGTCAAACTGGTAGGGGGCCATTGAGTGCTGGCTAACAGATCAACAAGGTTGGCTTACCACACTCTCCGAGATACATAAACCATAGACATGGTCAGCCTAAAGTGCTACTACTGAGAACCAGGGTTTCAAATCTGTCTGAGAAAGTGAACAAGAAGCAGGGCGGAAGATCGCTCCTTGGGTTAATCAGTCTGACCAATCTGGTCACAAAATGCTGGCTAACAGATAAACGACTTTAGTGTACCGCACTCTCCGAGACCAAATCTTGAGCTACAAGAATAACTGCAATACCCTCCACCTTGATTCTTATCAGCAGACGAGGGAAAGATATAGATCAGGACATATAGATCCTGCGACGCCACCAGGGCATGAGCGGTCCCACAGAGACAACAGGAGACAAATCTGTCCAGTTTATTGTTAAACCAAGAAGCTAGCAAATCCTCATCTGACAGCTAACATTGTGGACATACAGTATATCCTGGAAGCCCTCCCAATGAACTGCCAATTCTCCCGGGTCCAGCTGACAAAATCTACCTGCCAGTTCTCCATGTGAAATGTGCCCCACAGAGATCGCTGGAACATTAAAATTCTTCCAACGACAGGAAGACTCTACCTCCATTGACCAACTGGAACTACTTCAAAAAGGTGGATACAATTAGTCTCAGCACTTACGGGCAACACTGCAGTTTCCTCAACTTTTCCTAGGGCAAAAACTGCTTAACCTGAAGGAGAAGGCCCAAGTACTCCAAGTTGTATGATGAATAAGAGATGACTTTTCCATGTTCAAGATCCATCGAAAGTCCTCCAAGGTCCACAGTGTGATTGACATATTGGAGTTCAAGGCCAGAGAGGTCTGAACGCAAAGCAACACATCGTCCAAGTATCTGATGACTGCGACACCTCATAAACAAAGAAGACCCAAAGCTGGTGCAAGGACCTTTGTGAACAATCTCAGAGCTAAAGTAAGGTCAAAGCAAAAAAAAAAAAATCTTTGATAAACCGGTAAGATAGAAATGTGTAATGCATCCCTTATTCCAAAAGATACCAAGAAGGCTCTGCAACGAGTTTGCTAAATCTCAGCGGGCATCCACCCACCTCAGATGCAGCTGGGGGAGTCAGACCTTCATGTGGTGGCCAATTTAACTGCAGAGTTTGATCCTTTGATTTTCCATGGATGCTTATAAACCCCTGATTTAGAGGGGTAAAAAAGACTTGGGCCTGTACACTGGAACCTGACAGGGAGAAACAAGTAGACCTGTTTTTAATACAATCCTCCGCAAGGGAATAGAGTACCAAGAACTACTTAGAGGTAAAGCTATTGTTTGTCAGGGTTTTTCAGTTTTTTGTAGGAAAAAGAAATTGAAAAGGAGAGGAGGAAATACTTTGTTGCACTATTGGGTTTATATGAAACAAGCCCAGACACCATGTTAGGGGAAAGAATAGTGGAATGAGAATTAAATTTCACCTTAAAAGAGAACTACCTCAGGAATATTCATGAACCAGCTGAGACTGTGTGGCTATGTGCAGGCAGACTGCAGTAACCACGGGTTCTCTTTTTGTTCTCTGAACAAAAATGAGCTGTTTGGTCAAGGTGCCAGAAAGAAGTTTTTACTGCACCAATGCCACAAAAAAGCCCAGTTACAATATGCCTGACAACACCTTGACATGCCTAAGCAGGCCTTTTTGTGTCATTGATGCAGTAAAGGCTTCTTTCTGGCACCTCGACCATGCAGCTCATTTTTGTTGAAGTGTCATCATATTGTGCTTCTTCAACCACACTGTCTTGTTCCAGAGCAGCCTGTAGTTTTCTTGTGGTTACCTATGGGTTTCCCTTTGTATCCCGAACAATTCTTCTGGCAGTTGTGACTGCAATCTTACTTGGTCTACCTGTACTTGGCTTGGTATCAAGAGATCCCCAAACTTTCCACTTCTTAATGATTTAACAGTACGGATTGGCATATTCAAGGCTTTGGACATCTTTTTATGTCTTTTTTTTCCATCTTTATAAAGTTCCATTACCTTGTTACGCAGAACTTTTGACAGTTCTTTTCTGATCCCCATGGCTCAGTATCTAGCCTAGTCAGTGCTTCCACGTAAAAGCTAACAAACTCATTGACTATTTATACACTGACACGAATTGCAATTTAAAAAGCCACAGATGTGGGACATTAACCTCTAATTGGCATTTTAACCCATGTGTGTCATCTTGTGTCTGTACCAAGGCCAAACATTTTAGGTAAACTTTTCATCATGGCCATTTGGGTGATTTCCGTTATCATTATGATTTAAAAAGGAGCCAAACAACTATTTGATAATAAATGGCTTCATATGATCATCATCCTTCAATAAAAGAGCATTTTGGCATGATCAATCATATTTTCAATATTAATGCCAAAATTTCACAATGTTTGCCAGGGTATGCAGACTTTTGCGCACAACTGTATTTCAGGGGTTGAGCTTGGCCCCTTAGTTCCAGTCAAGAGAACTCTTAAGGCGTCAGCAGAGCAAGACATTTTGGACAATTTGATGCTCCCAGCTTTATGGGAACAGTTTGGGGATGGCCCCTTCCTTTTCGAACATGGCTGCACACCAGTACACAAAGCAAGGTCCATAAATACATGGATGAGTGAGTTTGAGGTGGAGGAACTTGACTGGCCTGCACAGAGTCCTGACCTCAACCAGACAGAACACCTTTGGGATGAATTAGAGCGGAGACAGCGAGCCAGGCCTTCTCATCCGACATCAGTGCCTCACAATGTGCTTCTGGAAACATTCGCACAGACACACTCCTAAACCTTGTGGACAGCCTTCCCAGAAGAGTTGAAGATGTTATAGCTGCAAAGGGTGGGCCAACACAATATTGAAACCTACGGACTAACACTGGGATGCCAATAAAGTTCATGTGTATGTAAAGGTAAGCGTCCCAGTACTTTTGGCAATATAGTGTATATATAATGTTTGGGGGTTCTAAGTAATTTTCTAGCAAAAAATACTGACTTTTACATGTTGGAGAGGAATATCAGAATTAGCTTGGGGTTGAAGTGGATAAAAACACACATGTACCAGGAGATTGCACCTGCGGTAAATAACTGATTAATTCACATTCACTGTTTTATAAATACATCCCTATGTGTTTTTATTCTTTTCTTATATGATACAGATGTAACTTTTTTTGTTGCTTAAATAAAATGTTTTTATGGCACTTGATGGTATTTTGGTATAAGGGGTCACCTTTGCAAGCATTACTTTTAACCCTTCTTTGGGCTGTAATGGTGACATCACAATAAAGTAGCAGCAGTTCTATCATGTCCAATGCTGCAACAACCTGCAGTGTGCACTGGAGGAAGAAATTTTCACTGACACTAGCACCTCTACCCCTTTCCCTCAGCCTGCAGAAGCTGATTGATAAGTTAGTCCCTCTCAGTTCTATGCCACTGGAATAACGTACAGAAAAATCCCTCTAGAATATGTCACGTTATCAAGCTCAACTTCTGCAGTGATACCTCCTCCTTAGATGAATCTTTTAATCTTTAAAATAGATTTTAAAAGGGTTTCTTGGTATTATTTATCCTTATTAAGTTTTTTATGTATGTGCTGGAGATTTCACTACTGTGCAATGAATTTATTATGGCACCTTGACTTTCACTTTAGGCAAAAGACTGCATATATAAAAAGTTTCATAAGAGATGCTCCTACCCCACAACAGTCTTGGCATCATTGACACGCAAACCATTACTGTAGAAACTAAGTCCATTGCTTGTGGTTTTTCCATTCTGAACTTCTGAAAGCACAAAATTCACAGATAAACACAATAGTACAAATAAATCTACTACACCTACTACCTTACACAATCTGACACATTCAAGTGAAACTATACCTATTTTTTGTTTTAGGTGCAGTGATCTCTCCTGGGCCTTTACTACTCTGCATGTCCCTGATGGGTAGATCTTCACCATGGTCTAACTGTCATAACCAATGTTCTGCTGTGAATGAAATTTCCTGTTTATGCTCACTACAACCTCCATATACTCCTAAGGAGCTGCACTAGAAGACAAGGTGTTTGTTAACCACCTAAATACCGGGCACTTTTACTCCCTTCCTGCATAGGCCAATTTTTAGCTTGCAGCGCTGTCGCACTTTGAATGACAATTGTGCAGTCATGCAACACTGAACCCATATGAAAATTTTTAGCATTTTCTTCATACAAATAGAGATTTATTTTTACTGGTATTTAATCAACACTATGGTTTTTTTTTTTCCGCTAGAAACTAAAATTTTGATTAAAAAAAAAAAAAAGTTTTTTTTGTTTCGGTCATAAAATTTTGCAAATAAATAATCTTTCTACAAAAATTTAGGCTAAAATGTCAACAAACCATGATATATATCTGAAAATTGCTAAATCCTGATGTACTGATGGCCATTCTCATTTCTTGAGGCCCAAAAACACCAAGACAGTACAAATACCTCCCAAATTACCGCTTTTCAGAAATAGGTAGTCTTTATTTTAACCCCTTCATGCCTAAGGGAAAAACAAATCTTAAATTTTACAACTTTGACATGTGTTCGTAAACCGTACATATCAATCACAACTACTTTGTACATCCAGGTGAATTATACTTGTTTTTTTCAGGACAAATTGGGCTTTCATTTGGTGGTAAATGGTAATGGCTATCTCCTTATTTTTATTTTATCAAAGGAAAACTGGCCCAAAATAGTAAAAAAAAAAAATAATTTTTTTAAATTTAGCTGTGTGTTTCTTGTTACTACCATAACCTACCACCAAAGAACAACCAAAAATTAATTTTCCAGCTCTTGACGATCGCAGCGATACCATATATATGTATGTTATTTGTTGTTTGTACCTGTACTACAGCTCAGAATCAATAGTGCGCATTTTGTTTTTTGTTTTGTTACCTAAAACACACTAACAGACACTGATACCAATTTAAAAAAAAAAAAAAAAAAAATCCTGACCTTTGACCCTGACCCAAACACTAACCCTGGCACTGCACTAAATCAAACCTTGTTTTTTTCTCTATGCAAGGAGAGAGAGAGATACAATGAGATACAATGCATCTCTCTCCTCCATTCAGAGAGAATAAAAAACCAAGGGGGGCGGACTTCACAGTAACGGATCACTGTGATAGCCAATCAGAGGCTATCACAGTGATCATATGACCAGGAATTGGGAGTCCCGGGTTGCAATCGTTAGAACGGGACCCAGGGCTCTCAGTGACTTTTTTCAAAAAAATGTATGATTTTTTTTTTTTTACTCCTTGACCAGAGCAATACAATGTTACCATAGTAACAGTGTACTACTCTGGGCAAGTGATCAGGATTTTTTTCTTTTTTTTACACATTATGATTGCTTATACCAGTGAATTTCACTGGTATAAACAACCATTTTTACTGAATGAAACGGATTGTTTCAGTAGTTATTGTGATCAGCTGTGATTGGCCACAGCTGATCACATGGTACAGATGAGTTGTGATTGGCCCTGTCTGTACCATGAGACCACTGTGACCAGTCATAACTAACAACACAGTTGTAAGCAATTAATGGCATGAAAGGAAACCATTCATTGTTTACAACTGTCATGTGATCTGCTGTGATTGGTCACAGTGATCACATGACACTGGCAGCGGGCCGGTGTAGTGATCAGCCATCAACGGTGTCCGGAGGCTGATCACTACACCAGAAAAAAAATGATATAAAAATGCATTTAGGTACAGCGTTGCATGACAGACTAATTGTCAAACTATCACAACATTGAAATCTGAAAAATGGCTTCATGAAAGGGCATTACAGGCTGGTATTTAGGTAGTTAATGAATGCAGTGCTGGTAAAAGCAGAGAAATATTAAAATGAGTATGTTAACCTCTTATTTACATCAGGATATCACACGTAAAGGAAAAAAACTACACATCTTTAATTGTATATATTGGAAAAAGTGTAAATCCATACTTACCTCCAGAATTATGGTGGGATTTAGGCAGTAAAAAAGTGCAAGGTCTTTGCTTGAACGTTAAATCAAACAGATAGACCTAGGGAACAATGCCATTTCAAACATTAGGAAAAGTTGAAATAAATAAAGACTGAAAAATGAAAATTATCTTTTTTTACAAACACCCTTACCTGCTCTCCTCCCATGTTGACTAATAGCTCAGTTCCGTCTGGACTGAAGGTTACATATGTGGCCACTAAAACACGTAACCGGTTGTTGTAATCTGGTAGCTTGACTGGCAGGTGGCCTAAAGAAGAATAGTGTTTGACGATTACGGAGATTTCATTAAAGAAATGGGGGGTGGTTGGAGCGTATAAAAGCAAAACAATAAAATGGCTGGCACATCACATAAAACTGAGAGAACTGGAAGCATTATACCACCATTTCTACAATTTGTACTCTTTAGTATCCAAATCGATAAGCACTGGTAGATCTTCCACTCCCCTAAAAATAACATAATCTAATCTAAGTTTCCTAAGCAAAAATACTTTTTTAGACTAATAGCCTCAATCCAACCCAAAGCACCTTGCCTCTATGACGACGAGGACAAAGCAAACATATGGCAACCACTCCAACCTATAAACTAGAATTTCCAGCAAGGAGCACATGGAAGGGCAACGCATATCAAAAAGTAAACACCTTGTTTTTAATGTAAACTGTTAGACAGGGTCAATTTGGTTTTGTTACAGGCTGGCAAATTTTGTTTGTTTTTGACATGCATTGCCATTCCATTTGCTTCTTGCTGCAAAGGTTAGTTATAGATTGGGGTAGTTTCCATGTGTTTGGATAGTTGGTGAATTGGTGCGGGGATTCAGTGGACACCTTCAGCAGCTATTGTGCCCTTGCTGGGTGTCCCGTGTGTCCCTGTACCTTTCAGGAGGAGTGGGCTCCCTCCAGACACACCTGCCCTTTATCCATCCATTACTATATGTGCTCCAACTTGGGAGACTCTCAAAATTATAGAGGTAGGATTGCAGTACACTGGGGTGCCTTGATGTGGCCACTGTAGCTTACACATTTGCAAATGTGTGCAAACTAAACTGCTTGTTTTTAACGTGAACTGTTAGACAGGGTCAATTCAGTTTTGTTGCAGGCTGGTAAGTGAGCTGGGAAATTGTTTTTTGTTTGTTTTTGACAGGCATTCCTCTTCCATGTGCTCCTTGCTGCAAAGGCTAGTTATAGGTTGGGGTGGTTGCCATTTGTTTGAATAGTTGGGGAATTGGTGCAAGGATGTACTGGATACCTGCAGATGCCATTGTGCCCTTGTCTGGGTGTCCTGTGCATCCCTGTACCTTTAAGGAGGGGTTGGCTCCCTCCAGACACACCTACCATTTACCTATCCATTACTATATGTGCTTCAACTTGGGAGGCTCTCAGAATTATAGAGTTAGTACTGAAGTACACTGTGGTGTCTTGATGTGGTCACTGAAACTTAGACATACATTTGCAAATGTGTACAAACGAAACCCCTTGTTTTTAATGTGAACTGTTCATTGCTGGCCACTTCAGAACTCTCCAGCGCTTCTTTGCCATCCATTTCTGAGTGCTTTTTGACGTAAGTGTCAATTTGGTTTTGGTGAAGGCTGGCCAGTAAGTGAGAAGGGAATTTTTTTCTTTTGTGTTTGTGATGAGGACAAAGACCTTTTTCCCACAACCGTGGCCTGGTATTTGTAAGGGTAAGGGGGTGACTTATCGGAAATTGGATATCCCCAGTAACAAAGAGCCACCAGATATTGTCCCGTACTCCCACAACCAGTGTTGTGGGGAAGAGGCCCTTGTTCTCATCAACTTGGGGACAAGGTGTTTTGCTAGGAGGGTCACAGCCCTAGCAAGGTACCCCTCCCTCATGTGAGGGCATGTGGCCTGGTATGGTTCAGGAAGGGAAGTGCTTCGACCCATTTTTTTCCATAAAGTCTTTACAGTTTATATTGTGTAGTTTTGAGAAAACCCTATGGAAATGGGTATATTGATGAAATGTAAAATGCTAAAGGGTGTTTGCACAAATGAAAACAGAAATAGATGAAAAGAGGAAACTGATTTAATAGGTTTATAAACCCGATCAATGAACTTCTCTTTTTTCTCCCTTTTGGTTTGTTAAAGTGGCCCTTTTATGCAAATGGTAAGTCGACCTTCCTACCAGCACCCATCACATAAACAAAATTAGCTGTGAAAAAAAATGTTTTTAATAAAATTGTCAAAAAAAAATAAAACAAACACTTCAGTACCGGCTTCTGACGATTCCAGGAGATGGTGGTGATATTATGGAGCTTTACTGCTGCCTCCTGGACACCCAAAATCCCACAGGTGTGTACTCCTGAAATGGGCTTGGCTGCATTCTCACAGGGTTTCAAGCACCCAGCTATCCTAGGAGGCAGCTCTGAGACATGGTTGGTGAGGACACCTGTACCTCCTGGAAGCTAGGAATGGGGTATTTTTGAAATTTTTTTGTATCCTCTCTTTTGTAACATCACAAGGAGAAATTAAAGGCTATAGAAAGTGAATGCAGCCACCACAACGAAAGACTGGTAAGTTGCAATATAGAATTTTTTGTTCTTGGATTACAATACACTTCAAAGGACAAGCTAGGGTCCCACCTGCTACATAATATTGAGCTGCTCCATCTGGGATAGGCTTTTGTCTCGAGCAAAATGTATGTAGTCCAGATTGTGTCTGCTGAAGATTCTTCCTACAGTGCAGACAGGAAAAAAAAAAAAAAATATGAACATAGAAATATTCTCCTTGTTATCTCTTCCAAAGACCAATAATCACTCACCTATGGCTGTGAATCATTCGAATATCATACAGCCTCACAAAGGGCCCACTGGCTCCAACGGCCAAGCAGTTGTTATCCTGAGGACTGATGCTTACACATTTTGCTTCTACTAATTGGCCACAATACTCCGTCAAATCAATCAAGACATCTGAGTGAGTACTGCTCTCTCTTAGGTCATATTGCCTACATTTAGTGAAGAATAACAGAATTCAAAAAACATTAAAAAAGGATTTTACAAACATAAAATAATTATATACAAATTTGGTCTGAGTTTTGTATTACTAAAAGTCCTTTAGCAAGAATTTCAAAAGACCTACCTGGTTCTTTGGTGATTACAGTGGACATACAAAGTCTACACACCCATGTAAAAATGTCAGGTTTTTGAGATGTTAAAAAAAATTAAAAAAACCTACAATAATGTGGTTGCATTTATATGCACACCCTAAAACTAATATTTTGTTGAAGCACTTTCTGATTTTATGACAACATTCAGTCTTTTGGGGAAGGAGTGTATCAGCATGGCACATCTTGCCTTAGGAATCCTTTCCCACTGTCCTTGCTAAAGCACTCCAACACTGTTTGCGAGGGCATCTCCTGTGCACAATCCTCTATAGGTCACCCCATAGATTTTAATTTGGATGCAGGTCTGGGCTCAGGCTGGGCCAATACAAAACTTTGATCATCTTCTGGTAAAGCCATTCTTTTGATCTGGAGGTATGCTTTGGGTCATTGTTGTAATGAAAGGTGAAATTCCTCTTCATCTTTTTAGCAGAGGCCTGAAGGTTTTGTGCCAAAATTGACTGATATTTGGAATAGTCCCTCCAACTTGACTAAAGCCCCAGCCAGCTGTAGAAAGCTAGCCCAAAAGCATAATACTGCCACTACCATGCTTCACTGTGGGTACGGAGTTTTTTGGTGATGTGCAGTGTTGGTTTTGCACCAAACATACTTTTTGGAATCATGGACAAAAAGTTCAATCTTTGTCTCATCAGACCAGAACACATTTCCCCACATGCTTTTGGCAGACTTGATATAGGTTTCTGCAAAATGTAGCTAGGTTTGGATATGTAGCTATGCTTGGAATAATGTTTTTATTTTCTGTCCTGCCACCCTACCCCACAGCTCATATATAGAAAAATTTATGAAATTGTTGTCATATGTAGTACACAAGCAGTATTTAACAGAAATTCATGCAGTTCCGTTAATGTTGCTGTAGGACTCTTGGCAGCCTCCTAGACCTGTTTTCTTCTTGTTTTTCCATCAATTTTGAAGGAATGTCCAGCTCTTGGTCACATGTTGTGCCATATTTTCTTCACATTTTGATGACAGTCTTCATTGTTTTCAATGATATATCTAATATCTTGGAAATTCTGTGTACCCTCTCCTGACACCTTTCATCAATGAGATCCCTCCGATGCTTTGTAAGCTGTTTGTGGACCATAGCTTTTTGCTGTAAGAGGTAACTGAGTAAATGTAAAAAATACCAACTAGAACAACTGAACTTTATATGGGTTTAATCAGTGTCACATTCAATGATGGCAGGTATGTACTGACTACTATTGAACATCAGTTTGAATGAGATTGGTTAATTCTGATCATGGCCACATCCCTAACTATGATGGCGTGTATACTTATGCAACCACATTATTTTATTTCTTTTTCCCCACTAAACAACTTTGTTTTTTTAATTGAACTGTACAGATTATAGGTCACATTAAGGCTCTGTTCACACCAATGTGTTTCTTAGTGCTTTTTGCAGAAACCCACTACAGTCCATTTAACATGGTTTCCTATGGAACATGTTCACATCTATGCTTATTTGAGTTGCTGTAGTTTTGGAAAGGGTTAGGTCCTTTTTTTAAAAAGCAAAAAGCAGCATTTCGCCTACAATAGAATTCAATGGAGAATCTGCTGAATTGCATGGTAGTGCGTTTTTGCCGTGTTTTGCATTTTTATTCTGCCCAACAACAAAAACGTTTCCATTTTAACAAAAAAAAAAACACAAAAACGCAAAACACGGTAAAAATGCATTAAAAACGCATCAATATGTGTGTAGAAAAACACAAAAAGAACTGCGAAAGCACTGCAAAATGGACAAAAAGCAAACTGTATAGGTGTGAACGGAGTTTAAGGTGGGAAGAAATTCTGAAGTGATTTGTCAACACCCTGTAGTTTTTGCATGGGTGGGTAGACTTTTTATATCCACTTGTATACTACTGCAGCCCCCTCCTCTTGAGAATTAGCTATGTTGTAGCATATTTGGTATCATTACCCTGTAATGGGTATAGGTCCTTACTAAAATCTCTTGTTGCCACTGCTCCTTTACAAGGATACTTTTGATTGGGACACACCTCTTTGACAAGCCACAACATAGCTTGTATACAATCCAGTTAAATATTTTTTTCCCTAAACCTATAAACATCACAACCAATTGATAACAACATAGTAGTCATGGGGCTTTGGTATACAGAATATTAAAATATATCTATAGCCAAAACTGTTTTTCTTTAACCGGTGTTAGCCCATTAGCCTAGGAGACGCACCATTACAAAAAACATCAACAAAGTTCCTAAGAGATATTTTCTACTGTTAATCTTCCCCTATTGCTGGCGAATCCGTGCTGTCAGAACAACAGCCAGGACTTGCCCTGTGGCACAGCAGTATCTATGTATTATACTTCCAAGCATAGAAATATGATGGAACGTTATTTTTACATTATATTTACTCTATTTTTTCAATGGAGTGACCTTTGATCTACTTCAAGGGAATGGGCTGCTCTATGCACAACATGAGGAAATGTGTAAGTTGCACACACAAAAAAAAAAAAATTAGTTGGAACGCGCACTCCTGTTACGCGGAATGTGAATGGGGCCTAAAGCCAATCTAAACTATTTTTAATTATACAAAACACTCGGAAATTGTAAGTTAAAATAATGTATATGTATACAAGTCAGTACCACCTCAGAAACTGCACTCCCCTTCCCCTAATTTTTTTTCATTCCCCTTTTAATCTGTGGGATTGGTGACTAATAATGGTTGCATGTATTGTAATGTATTTTATGCTTGGAAAATGTCAACACTTTATGGAAAAAAAAAAAAAATAGTGCATTCATGTGCACTTGCAAAAACATGTCTTGTGGCTTTCCTGGAGGATTCCAAGCTGCTGCGCAGATATAGCAAGAACGTTAAATTCTCTATGACCTCTTGGTTTGAGCTTCTGCATTTGTAGGTATGATCCTACATTTGCATAACAGGAGAGCACGCCAAGGCACAAAACAAAATGTGCCTCCCCACAGTTCTACCCTGTGTTTTACATTTTCATTTTATTTGACAGTAGCATTAAAAAGAAGTAAGAAGCTGCTGATAAAAGAGCAGGATTGATTACAGTGGTGATAGAGCTTTTTACATGACAGGTTCCTGGTAAATAATGGAAATAGTTCCTACAGATAATGCCCTGTAAGAGAACGATTACATTATTTCACTCAGACATAAAACTTTATCAATTCCCACTAATGCTGACGAAAACAAACGAAACAAGATGGCATATGGATAATGTGAAATATGGATAATACAAAATGTAATGAAGATTTGCAGGTATACATGCATGAATCATTTTAACTTGCATTATAGAAAAGATACAACAGTGCAACTGAATTTTACTTAGTATCAGCCTCTTGCAATCCCCTATACAGCAGAACTCAGACTGAGAAAGGGAAGGGCAGGATTAGGAGCCAATCAGGTGTGTTGAATGCAAAAGTAAAGACAAAGAAGATGCTGAAAGGAGGAGTGAGCATAGAGATGACCTCTTTAATCTCATTCTGGTATTTCCCTGTACAGGTCAGCGGGCTGGAGTTGAAGAGAGGATAACGCTGTATTACTTCTACAGTCTACAACTGTAGAAAGCTCCCGTCTATATTTTTCTTCTGTGTAATTAGCTGTTTGCTTGGAGTTTAGCTCCAAATTTCGTTTTCCCCCTTACCGGATTAAGCCATCCTCTGCTGCACTCCAGAAAGTATTGGGCCACATAGGGGCAGTGGCAACACGCTTCACTCGGTTGGTATGTTCTGAAAAAACATGGAGGGTTTCTTTTGAGTTCACATCATGAACATGAACCTTGGCATCTGCTGCTCCGGTAATCAAGATGCGATCCCCAGTGTGTGGGAGAAACTGTTTATGAAGAGAAAAAAAGTGAGGCAGGGTAAGCAAGTCATTAAAACTAGTAAAAATATACTTGTGTGCACAGGACAAACTGGAGGTATAAATATATCTCTGACATTTACGTGTGATGTGACATGCTATCTAAAGGTCTACTGTGAAGAAAACGCCGCTAATGACTTAAAGTATAACTAAAGACAAAACTTTTTTTTAGTTTTGTTAATAGAGTGGAGGATTAGAACACCTGTCTATGTTTTACTGCTGTGTCTCCGTTGGGGAGAATTACCTTCTTTATTTGTTCTGTTTTCCATTATCATTGAAAGTAAAAGAAAATCCCAATGTTTGGGTTATCAACAAAAAAGTAATAGAGAGGAAATCTTTCAATGGAGACACTGGTTCTGGCGACCTAGGGGTCCCCAAGAAATTCCCTTAATTTGCAAGGATTTCCTCTCACTTCCTGTTTGGCTATGGGACAGGAAGTGAAGGGAAATCTCCGCAAAAGGGACACAGATGGCGAAAAAAAATACCTACACTCACTGGGCACTTTATTAGGTACACCTTGCAGGTGCCAACAAAATATCCCCCACACCATTACACCACCACCAGCCTAAACCATTGATACAAGGCAGGATGAATCCATGATTTCATGTTATTTATGCCAAATTCTGGCCCTGTCATCTGAATGTCGCAGCTGAAATCAAGACTCATAAGACCACGCAACATTTTTCCAATCTTCTGTTGTCCAATTTTGGTGAGCCTGTGCGAATTGTAGCCTCCGCTTCCTGTTCTTAGCTGACAGGAGTAGCAACCAGTGTGGTCTTCTGTTGCTGTAGCCCATCTGCTTCAAGGTTCGACATGCTATGTGCTCAGAGATGGTAATCTGCATACCTTGGTTGTAATGAGTAGTTATTTCAGTTACTGTTGCCTTTCTATCATCTTGAACCAGTCTGTCCATTCTCCTCTGATCTCTGAGATCAACAAGGCATTTATGTCCACACAACTGCCGCTCACTGGATATTTTCTCTTTTTTGGACCATTCTCTGTAAACCCTAGAGGTTGTTGTGTCCCAATAGATCAGCAGTTTTATAAATACTCAGACCAGCTCATCTGGCACCAACAACCATGGTCACTTAAATCCCCTTTCTTTCCCATTCTGATGCTTGGTTTGAACTGCAGCAAGTCATCTTAACTAGGTCTAGATTCCTAAATACATTGAGTTGCTGCCATGTGAGTAGCAATTTGTCTTACCAAGCAATTGAACAGGTGTACCTAATAAAGTGGCTGTTAAGTGTATGTGGCGCTGCTCACCTTGACAGAGAAGATGTTGGCAGTGTGCCCTGTATGCATAGACAGAAGTTTCTTATGATGAAATGGATCCCAAAGCATCATATGTTGGTCATCTGAGCCAGAGGCCAGCAGGCTGCACAAAAGAAAATAGAAGTTTAAACAACAATGTCTGAAAGAGAAAAGGGGTAATTAAACAAATGCATGAGGGCTTATAAAAGATACAGTAAAGGATAGTAAATTGCCCCCAATCAGGTCCATACAGGTTAGCTAAGATAGTTCAAGACATTCAGGGCCCTTTCACACCTATGTCTAAAAGAATCCATTTCTGAGAGAAACACTAAGGCTGCTATTGCTAACTTTTATATAAAAGTATTGGGCTAGAGCCAAAACATAAACCCATACAGGGATACCACATCCCAATAGGAGACCCAATAGAAAAAATTGTAGAAAAGCATGGTCTACACACCCCTGTTAAAATGTCAGGTTTCTGTGATGTAAAAAAATGAGACAAAGATAAATAATTTCAGAACTTTTTCCACCTTTAATGTAACCTATAAACTGTACAATTCAGTTGAACAACAAGCTGAAATCTTTTAGGTGGAGGGAAGTAAGAAATAAAAAACTAAAATAATATGGTTGCATAAGTGTGCACACCCTTAAACTAATACTTTGTTGAAGCACCTTTTGATTTTATTACAGCAATCAGTCTTTTTGAATAGGAGTCTATCAGCAAGGCACATCTTGACTTGGTAATATTTGTCCACTTTTTTCTCTGCAAAAACACTCCAAATCTGTCAGATTGCGAGGGCATCTCTTGTGCACAGCCCACTTCAGATAACCCCACATATTTTCCATCGAATTCAGGTCTAGACCTTTCCAAAACTTTAATCTTCTTCTGCTGAAGCCATTCCTTTGTTGATTTGGATGTATGCTTTGGTTCGTTGTCATGCGGAAAAGATGAAGAAGTTTCTCTTCATGTTCAGCTATCTAGCAGAAGCCTGAAGGTTTTGTGCCAATATTGACTGGTATTTGGAACTGTTCATAATTCCTTCTACCTTGACTAAGGTCCCAGTTCTAGCTGAAGAAAAACAGCCCCAAAGCATAATGCTGCCACCACCCTGCTTCACTGTGGGTATGGTGTTCCTTTTTTTAAATTATAATATCTTTATTAATATTTATCATACAAATCCATTTCAAACCAAACATCTTACGATACAAAAATCTATATTTAATTACAGCCCATACACTCATATTTACTCCCCTCCCCCCATCCCTTGTCAACGTAGTCCTGTTTACTTCTTGCTTTTCTTTTTTTATCTATCTTACTATTCACCCTCCTTATCTTTTCCCAACTCCTTATTTATTTTCTTTATTCCCCTACACTCCAACCACTTCTAAAAATCTTTCTATTTTTTTAAATTGTACCATCCTACCCAGACCTTCAGTTTTTCCATTTTACCCTCATCTATATGGTATATTTCTTACATCACACACATATATATATATATATATATACAGTCATGGCCGAAATTGTTGGCACCCTTGATATTTCTCCAGGAAATCATGTATTTCTCACGAAACGTATTGCATTAACACATGTTTTGCTATACACATGTTTATTCCCTTTGTGTGTATTGGGACAAAAAAAAAAAGGGAGGAAAGAAAGCAAATTCGACATAATGTCACACAAACCTCCAAAAATGGGCTGGACAAAAGTATTGGCACCCTTTCACAACTGCGGATAAATAAGAATGTTACAAGCATGTGATGCTCCTGTAAACTCACCTGGGGCAAGTAACAGGTGTGGGCAATATAGAAATCACACCTGAAAGCAGATAAAAAGGAGAGACGTTCACTTAACCTTTGCATTGTGTGTCTGTCTGTGCCACACTAAGCATGGACAACAGAAAGAGGAGACGAGAACTGTCTGAGGACCTGAGAACCAAAATTGTGGCAAAATATCAACAATCTCAAGGTTACAAGTCCATCTCCAGAGAACTAGATTTGCCTTTGTCCACAGTGCGCAACATTATCAAGAAGTTTTGCAACCCATGGCACTGTAGCTAATCTCCCTGGTCGTGGACGGATGAGGAAAATTGATGAAAGATTGCAACGCAGAATAGTCCGGATGGTGGATAAGCAGCCCCAAACATGTTCCAAAGACATTCAAGCTGTCCTGCAGGCTCAGGGAGCATCAGTGTCAGCGCGAACTATCCGTCGACATTTAAATGAAATGAAACGCTATGGCAGGAGACCCAGGAGGACCCCACTGCTGACACAGAGACATAAAAAAGCAAGACTACAGTTTGCCAAAATGTACTTGAGTAAGCCAAAAGCCTTCTGGGAAAACGTCTTGTGGACAGATGAGACCAAGATAGAGCTTTTTCGGTAAAGCACATCATTCTACTGTTTACCGAAAACGGAATGAGGCCTACAAAGAACAAAACACAGTACCTACGGTAAAATATGGTGGAGGTTCAATGATGTTTTTGGGGTTGTTTTGCTGCCTCTGGCACTGGGTGCCTTGACTGTGTGCAAGGCATCATGAAATCTGAGGATTACCAAAGGATTTTGGGTCGCACTGTAGGGCCCAGTGTCAGAAAGCTGGGTTTGCGTCCAAGATCCTGGGTCTTCCAGCAGGACAATGACCCCAAACATACGTCAAAAAGCACTCAGAAATGGATGGCAAAGAAGCGCTGGAGAGAGTTCTGAAGTGGCCAGCAATGAGCCCAGATCTAAATCCCATTGAACACCTGTGGAGAGATCTTAAAATTGCTGTTGGGAAAAGGTGTCCTTCCAATAAGAGAGACCTGGAGCTGTTTGCAAAGGAAGAGTGGTCCAAAATTCCGGGTGAGAGGTGTCAGAAGCTTATTGATGGTTATAGGAAGCGACTGATTTCAGTTATGTTTTCCAAAGGGTGTGCAACCAAATATTAAGTTAAGGGTGCCAATACTTTTGTCCAGCCCATTTTTGGGGTTTTGTGTGACATTATGTCATATTTGCTTTTCTGCCTCTGTTTTATATTTGTTCCAATACATACAAAGGGAATAAACATGTGTATAGCAAAACATGTGTTAATGCAATACCTTTTTTGTGTGAAATACTTGATTTTCAGGAAAAATATCAAGGGTGCCAACAATTTCGGCCATGACTGTATATATATATATATATATCTTAAATAGAATACGTGTCAAAGTGCTTGTATTCTCATCCCACGTACGAAATTCCTGTGGTATCCAAATATACTTATCTAATGGTGCCTTACTAAGTGAACTCTCCACGTTTACCCAATTTTTCACCTGTGCATTATATATCCACTCTACAATTCGTGATAATAACACTGAATTAAAATATCTCTTGAAATCTGGCATATTTAATCCTCCTTTTTTTTTGGTTACTGCATAAAACTTTGTATTTAACTCTTTATTTTCTGTTAACCCACACATATCTAATTTTTTTACGAAACCTAAAAAACAACCCCGAAAGAGTGTTGGGAGCATATTAAATTTATACAAAAAAACTTTTCGTACTATTATCATCTTAATTATATGTATCTGCCCTATCCAGGACTGCTTTCCCGTAGAAGCTTTCCTCAATTCATCCTTTATCTCATTTATTAATGGGATATAATTTGCTTGATATAAATTTTTTATATAGACGATGTTAATTTTATTCCCAAATACTTTAGTGCTTTTTCTCTCTATTTAAAGGGGAATTCTTTTTGTAAAGTTTGTTTCTCAGCCTTTGGGACATTTCTATATAAGATCTCACTTTTCGAGGGGTTGATTTTAACCCCTTGACAATCGGGCTATAGCCGAATGAAGGCTACAGTGAGGCTGTCCAGTTCTGGGAGGGAGTCATATGACGTCTTCCCAGAACGCACCCCTAGGGGCGCGCACCCGGCCATCTCTGTGATCGCTGTGTCCTACGGACACAGCTGATCACGTGATTTGGTAATAGGCCAATCACAGCAGCCTTTTACCATATGATCAGTCGTGTCCAATGACACAGCAGATTACCAGTAAATGCAGTTGCCGGTTATCGGCTGCACTTTCCGCACGCTGTCACAGCATGAGAAAAGTACTGCCGATAACCGGCAATTGTCAGAGGATGGATCGGCACCAATCATCAGGGCACTGATGATCAGTGCCCAGCAGTGCCACCCACTAGTGCCGCCCAACTGTACCCACCAGTGCAACCCACCTGTGCACGTTAGTGCCCATCAGTGCCACCCACCTGTGCCCAGCAGTGCCACCAGTCAATGCCCAGCAGTGCTGCCCACCAGTTCCGCCTATCAGTGCCGCATCATCAGTGCCGCCTATCAGTGCTGCCTATCAGTGCCAACTATCAGTGCAGCCTTATCAACGCACATCAGTGAAGGAGAAAAATAACCTATTTGCAAAATTTTATAATAGAAATAAAGAAAAACTTTTTTTTTCACATTTTTTTTTTTTTTTGTTTATAGGTCAAAAAATAAAACACCCAGCAGAAATTAAATACCACCAAAAGAAAGCTCTATTTGTGTGAAAAAAATGATAAAAATGTCATATAGGTACAGTGTTGCATGACCGCGCAATTATCATTCAAAGTGCGACAGCGCTCACAGCTGAAAAATGGCCTGGGCACGAAGGGGGTATAAGTGCCCGGTAGGCAAGTGGTTAAAGTTAGATAGCTCTCCATATTCTTTCAGTTTTCGCATTAAATTTGGTAATGTTAATCTGGGGTTTGCTATATAGAACAGCATATCGTCTGAACTTTATGTTCAGTATCCTCCAACCACAATCCCTTGACACTTACGCTATTTCTTTCTTTTTTTTTTTTTGATTAAAATATTTTATTAATTTTCACATTTTTTGTTAACATCAATAAATAATCATATTATTCACATACAAAAACATTTTCATTTAAACAATTCTCCCCCGAAAACCTATTCCCCTTCTCCCATTCCCAACCTCCCTCCCCCCTCTCATCGCCAACACCAACTTCCTCCATATTTTCTTCTCTTTAGCTCCCAGCTCCTCTATTTCCAAGATACTTTAAAAACTCCCTACACCTTCTTCCTAATCTACCTACCCCTTTTTTTTCCTTTCTTAATTTCCTACTCCCTCCTTATCTGTTCCATTATATAATTTT